AGTTATATTCTGGGTGAAAATAAATTTAGTAGAATGTTGTAATAAACGTTTTTTTGTGTTCTAATCACAACAAGAAAACTGGACATTTTAACATTTTATAAACATTTCAATACAATGTTCCCACAATGTTTTTATAACCATTTTATACCCTAAATTTAGCATTAGATGCCATCTTTCTTTTTTTGCACATGCATTTTCTTTTTAATTTATTCATACAATTTTATTATTATCATTATTAATATTTACTTATTTATTATTATTATTTAATAAAGAAAATTTGGGCTTGTTTCTTCATAAAGGTACTTAGTTACTGCTCAAAAATTGTGGTTGGTACAATTTTTTTATGTTTTTTAAAGAAGTCATGCTCACCAAGTTGTATGCTCACCAAGGCTGCATGATTCAGAAAATCATTCAAATATGGTGATTTTGTGCAGATTCATATTTTTGTGGAAACCATTAATTTCTTTGAACACTTTTGGATGTTAGTCTATATGGGCAGTTGCTGGTTAACGTATTTGGGGCTTATTTTGGGCCAAAATACACAGTCACAAGACATTTGAATTGTTTTGCTTAAAAGGTATAATTATTGAAAAGATGTTTGTTTGCAGCAAGATGCAATATGTAATTTAACCTCTGTTTTATGCAACAATGAACCAGATAAATCAATGTGATTGTAGATATGTTTGACTCTTCTGGAGGGTTTTCTAGGGATAAGTTATTCACTCCGTTTCTGTTTACATGTGCAGCACACAATCCCTCAAAATTAGTGTCTATTTTTGCTATTGGCGTCTGTATAATGAGAGGATGAGAAGCGGATGAATGTAGGTGTCTTCCCAGGAAAAGACGAGTGGAAAATTTTGTTCAGGGACAAATTGGGCAGACAGGGGCGGGGTGATGTCTGGTAACCTGAACCCTGGAGACACAAATCTTTGTGACTTCGTTAGGTAAAGCTACACTCCCTCTCCTCTCTGCTCCTCTGTCTCAATCACTCTCATTCAGCTCTGAGAAGAAACAATGGTCTCTCACATGCTGTGAGCCTTGCACACACAATAATATCCCTTATGTGAGCGAGCCACTCGGCTGACTGATCCAGCTCTCCAGAGAGGACAGTATGTGCTGAGATTCCTCCAGGGCCTCGTAACCCGATGATTCCTTGAGGAAAAATCCACAGTCTGGGGGGGATGTGATTACAGGTGCCTTAGAAATGGATGTTTTAAAGGAGTAGCGCACCCAAAAATGACAATTCTGTCACCATTAATCTTACAACAACAGAACTGTGTCAGCCGATGAATATGCAGAGTGTGACATCACAGGAGCTGAATAAGTCAGCATGTGGCTGAACGTGTTATTAAAAAGTGTTTGTTAGGCACAAAGTAGAGTTGACTTGTTTATGGTTACTGAACACTGCTCATTTGATCAGTATTTAAAGGTAAACCTGTCTGTTTTATAATAAGTTCTATTTTGAACTGAAGTGTTATGTAACGTGAGGCTGTTTTTGGCAGTGAACGCCAGATATTACTTATGCATGATAACACAACAATGGTAAGGATTATTTTAAAATAGACATTTTGGTGAAAATAGAGTTAAACCATAAAACATAGATAAAATAACCATGTAGGTGCTATATACAGTGGGGAAAAAAAGTATTTAGTCAGCCACCAATTGTGCAAGTTCTCCCACTTAATTTAAAAAGATGAGAGAGGCCTGTAATTTTCATCATAGGTATACCTCAACTATGAGTATATTATATTATATTATATTATGTTCCTTCTGTTTCGAATGAAATTAAGTACTTTTCATTTGCACCTTTCACTGGATTATTCCAAATATATGGTTATTTAATATATAATCCACATGTTTGTCATATATCAAGGGGAAAAAGTGATTCCACTACTAAATAATGACAAATATATTTTATTTATTATTATTATTATTATTATTTTTAATCATTCTCAAGCTTCAGAAGACCAAGAATATAGCAAAAAAAATAATAGATTGACTACTGTTATGATACATTGACAGCACACATCCCAATTCACTTTCCGTATCCTTCAGAAGGACAGGTTTGGAATGACATGAGGGTGAGGAAATTAATTTAAATTTTTGGCCCAGCAATTCCTGAATATGAATAGACATTTGTAATGTCACTGAATTGTGCTGACATACTAGAAGTGACAACCTTCTTCTAAAATCAGATTCTTGCTGATTTCTGCAGTGTTCTTCACGAGAGCCACGCAAGACAGAGACACTGCCTTCTTTCACACTCGTCATGTTTATTTTTCTGTTGATCTGTTGCCTCTCTCTCTCTCTCTCTCTCTCTCACACATACACACACACAGTGTCTATGGCTGACATTTCCCTCCATGCTCACAGCTGCATGCCTGAGAGAATAAGCAGCTCTTAGAGACACTCTACAGTCCTTACTGCACGGCCATGAGCAGCACACTTACAACACTGACATCCATACTGTTGAAAATAAAGAAACGGCAGAAAAAACGCAAAGTGTTAATTTGGGGTGACTACACACACACACACACACACACACACACACA